TGTAAGAATACAGTGTATATAATACATATAACATACAAAATATGTGTTGATCAACTGTTTATATTACTGGTCAACAGTAGGCTATTATGAGGTAAGTTTTTGGGGCGTCAAAAGTTATATGAGGACTTTTTACTGCATGAGGAGATCAGCACCCCCATATTGTTTAAAGGTCAACTGTACATTGTTATCAAACTACATTCTTCTACCTGGTCCTTCACTTACTCTTCTATAATCTTCTCTATAATTCTCTACATAGTAGTCAGAGGGGGTTTGAAATGTAAAGCAAATAATGCCACTTTTTTCCTTTAAAATCTCTACTGGCTTCTCATCATTCAAAGTAAATCCCAAATAAATTAATAAAGAAAACCCAACCTCCTTAGCCACCTTATAAATAACCTGGCCCCTGCCTACTCCTGTGACCTTTCAGACGTCTCATTAACTGTACCTACCAACACTAGGCCTCCTTGAACACCTCAAGGACATTGCCTGCCTTTGGAATTTTTTTCTTATGGCCAGTGGAGAACTACAGCCAAAACAGATTACACACTAAAATCAATACTATATACAAATTATAGTTTTTTCGACATTACATCATGGGTTTATAAATTTACCAAAGGTAATGCAATTATACTCTTTTACAAAAAGGGGGCTTCTGAACTAGAATTTGGGATCTTTATCTCTATAATATACTATTCTACTGAATAGTAGAAATGAAGAAAGGTAAAGAAAAGGGAAAATAGAATATTTTGTATTTTGGTTTAATGTATTTTGATGATCTATAATGATAATTTCACACATAAGATTTCCTCATATTAATAAATTGACAAAAATAAATTTTGTGGAAGCTTGAGTTCATAAAGGTTGGAATAAATAATGATCTTAGAAATCAAAGTGCCACTGTCCTCACTAGAGTTAGCAGACGCTATTAGCTCCAGTTTGCCTACCTCGTATTGTAATTTTTTATTCAAGTCCTCTGTTCTCCATCACATCATTGCCTTTCAAAGGTATTATTTTGTTTCTATCCTACCTGGAGGTTTCCAATGATGGATTTGAAGGTCACTAGTGTCTGTAGAGTGGCTAGTGTTTCCCTATCATTGCTCAAAAGGCCAAGAGAATACGTCTTTTACATTACCTCCTTTATCTAGCTCCAAGAGAGTGTTGCCTTGTTCTTTCTTTGTCTTAAAGACTTGAAGAAAATGCTTGTCTTATTTTATTTTCTCCACTGAGCTTCATTGTCAGGACTCAGGTAGTACAAGTCTCCGTGTCTGTGTTGGAGAACCATGAACTGTGTGTGTCATAAAGGACAAGAACAAAGAACATTATGAACTGTACACACTTATATCCCACAGTTCCCACACAAGTCCATGACCCTGAACCTCTCTTATGAATTCAACTTCTTTCTTAGTGTCATTCTTTTTACATAGTCACAGAATATACTTCTGGGCTGTCTGTCCCTCCGACACTGCTTAAACATGTCTAAATTGTGAAATGAACCTATCTCAGCTGGAAAAAAATGATGCCATTTACCTACATTTAATCACAGAACATTTTCCTACAGCTGTTGTATTTTTATTAGTTCATAGAATCATAAAACCTATAAACTGGAAAGTAGAAATATATGTTAGATATTGTCTTCTCCAATTTAGGTCAAGGAAGATTAAATATCAACATTGACTCACGGCTTTTTCTACAATACACTGGTATAACTAAACAAGTTAAGTGTAACATTTTCTGAATCAAGACTTAACTGAGGTTCACTAAAGGCAGTTAGACTTTCCTAGAAACCTTTACATATTTTTCTGGCAGCCTATAACAGACCATTTAGAAGCGCAGCATTCTTCCCAGTAAGATCTTTGCTTAATCGTAGAATTTATTTGACCATGATGAAATCTGCAACATTTTCTTATTTTTTGTTGGTCCTTTTTAATCCTCCTCAAGATTATGCTCTGACCCCTCATTTGTTTTTTTCCTGCACACTCTCCTTCCATGAAATCATCTGCTTTCATGGTTTCTGTTGCCGTTTGTCTTCAGATGATGGTCAAATCTACACTTCTAACTCTCCTCCACTAGAGCCTCATTTTGTTCTATAAAGCATCAGTTTTCAGTCCTATTATCACTCAGCCTGAGACAGACCAAGCTTATCTTCCAGCCTTAACAGCCAAACTTCTGAATTTCCCTGGCTGTAGCAGTAACACTCACCACATCTGAGGCTACTACAATGGGAGCCTGGGTAAATATTTCTTTTTTATTTTATTTCTTTCTTTCTCCAACGAGCAGTTAAATTCAGACTATTCCTTGGATACATTTCCGTATTTGTCCTCTCCACTCAGTCTATATCACCACCCCAATCCATAACCTCATAATTTCAGAGCCACTTTCTTTCTAGTCTATCCAAACAATGCTCCAATCCCACCCCTTTTCCTCTAATCCACCTACTAATCTGCTGCTGAATTAGTCTTCCTAAAATCTGTTTTCCCTATACCACTGCATGGAAGGGGAAGAGAGGAAGCTAACTTTACTTAGCAGCTAACCATGACGTTGGCACTTCGTGTTGCCTCATGAAGTCCTCTCACCCAATACCCTTAGGCAGATATTTGGATTCCTGTTTTACAGATGGTGAGAGGAAGGGTCAGAAAGGTTAACAACTTGCTCAAGATCAGCTACAGCTAATCATCAGTGGACCTGGTATTTGAACCTGTGCTATCTCAATTATACCCTGCTGACTCCATAACTTTCTTTCTTTTTTTAACTGCATAATATTTCTCTTTTTTTATCTTTTAAATTAAATTTATTGGGATGATATTGGTTAATAAGATTATATAGGCTTTGGGTGTACAGTCCTATGATACATCATCTGTATATTGCATTGTGTACCCACCACCCAAAGTCAAATCTTCTTTCAAATGTTCCTCATATCTAGCCCACAAGTCATTGAACCTTTATGTCTTGAGCATCTACAGTGTATAAGGAACTTCATGGAAAACGAAGATCAGTAGGAAAGAGATCCTCCCTGCAGGAACTTATAGTCTAGGAGGAAAGACGACATATGAAGATAACTAATTGCAGGAATCTTTATCTGTTTTATTCCCTGTTGTATCTCAAGCATCTAAAATAGTTCTACACCAGTTTTCTGGGGCTGGTGTAACAAATGACCACAAATGAGGTGTCTTAAAACAACGGAAATTTATTTTCTCAGTTTCAGTGCCTACAAGTCCAAAATCAAGATGTCAGTGGGGGTTTCTTCTGGAGGATCTGAGAAAGAATCTCCTATGCATCTGTCCTTGCTTTTGGCATTGCCTTGTTTGTAGCTGCTACACCCCAAACTCTGCCGCCACTGTCACAGGGCCCGCTTTTCTGTACATCTGTGTCTCTGTTTCTCTTTGTCCCCAAATCTCCCTCACCTTATAAGGACACCCGTCATTGGATTTGGGACCCCAATCTGATCCAGTATGCCCGCATCTTTGCATCTGCAAAGATCCTATTTCTAAATAAATTCACAGGTTGTAGGTGAACATTAATTTTGGGAAGATATTCTCAACAAACCTACTACAGTATATAGCATACAATAGCCACTAAATAAATATTTGCTGAATAAAGAAATCATCTAACATACACAAAGTGTTGTAAGGGAGGCAGCAGTTTTATTTATTATTTATTTATTTATTTATTTATTTATTTTAACATTCTGAAATTATATTTGTATTGGTTTTAACAAGATTTACAGCCTACTCAGAAATGCAATAGAGTGGATACCACAAAACAAATTTGTTTGAAAGCTCTAGAACCAGCACATGAATAGTCGTGACATCCAGCAACATGTCCTTGTTGAAAAATAGTTTTTATAATCTATAATGGTAGATGTTCTATGAACAGAATAAGCTGCATGTAGAATAAAATGAAAAGACTGTAAAAGTAGAGATTAAAGATGAAAAATGAGAAAGTATTTTAATGAAACTTCCTTTAGTTATGTTAATACAACTTAAAATCAAATACAAACTTTAAGAATATCAGTAAGTTCTTATATGTATGTTTATGTATATAAAGAACATGGACTTTGGAATCAGGCAGACTTTGAATGTGAGTCCTCTTGACCCAACCAGGTAGCACTGGATAAGTTATTTAACATCTCTGAGCCTCAGTTTCCCAGTCTCTAAAATGTCAATAATAATAGTACCTGAAGGGCTATAATAATTAAATGAAGCCCAAAATACTGGTACATTGCAAATGCTTACTCAGTGTGCTCTTTATATAATGAAAGGCAGCAATCTGTTTTTGTTTCTTTTACTGATATGAGAATTAATTGCATTCTGTCTACTCCTTTCATAATTAGCTATTTAAGAGGAACTATATTAATGGAAAAGAAGCAATAGACTATGTAAGCATTAGGTAAACTGACTTTGAAGTTGTTTTCAGAATGCATTCTTTTCCTGTAAAACATCCAAATCTTTGGAGTTTCACACAGAGGCATACCCTACCACCTCTGATCTTGCCAAGTATAAAAAGAAAGCAAAACAGAGACCTTAGCATGCAAATACAACCTGTTTTCTACACTTCATGCCCAGTGATCTCTGAACCTTTGTGAACGACTGCACTTCAGTCTCTTCCATCAGTGAAATAGAGTGCAGGTCATCACTGACTCTGGGTTTATCACACAGGTGCTAGAGTAAACGCCTGGCCCTTTAATAATGTCGTTTTTTGCACAAAGGCTCAGGTCACTCTTCAAAGACCTTCCAAGATTTCAGTCAGCGTTGGCCTCAAAGCCTGCCTATGTGTTTGTTATCTGTGTCCTTAAAAGTACGTTAGGGTACCTACTTAAAATTGTTATCTAAACCTCCACAAAACATCATTCTTTCAAGGGAAAAGGAGGCAGCAATTTAAAAATCCCATTGGCATTCTGAGGTCACACACACGGCCTCGCCCCCCCACCCCCACCCCCGCGCTTGCTCCGCCGTCGCCAGGGAAACCGGCAGCGTCCTCCGGCCCCACTGGAAGCTAGTTTCATGGCAGCTGCGAAGAAAGCAGTTTTGGAGCTGTTGGTGGGGGCAGTGGACCAGGGCACCAGCTCCACACGCTTTTTGGTTTTCAATTCAAAGACATCCGAGCTACTTTGTCATCATCAAGTGGAAATAAAACAAGAGTATCCAAGAGAAGGATGGGTGGAACAAAACCCTAAGGAAATTCTGCTGTCTGTCTACGAGTGTATAGAGAAAACAAGTGAGAAACTTCAACGGCTCAATATTAACATTTCCAACATAAAAGCTATTGGTGTCAGTAACCAGAGGGAAACCACTGTGGTCTGGGACAAGATCACGGGGGAGCCTCTCTATAACGCGGTGGTGTGGCTCGACCTCAGAACCCAGTCTACCGTTGAGAATCTCAGTAAGAGGATTCCAGACAATAATAACTTCGTCAAGTCCAAGACAGGCCTTCCCCTTAGCACTTACTTCAGCGCCGTCAAAGTCCGTTGGCTTCTCGACAACGTAAGAGAAGTTCAAACGGCTGTTGAGGAAGGGAGAGCTCTTTTCGGGACCATTGATTCATGGCTCATCTGGAATATGACAGGAGGAGTCAGTGGAGGTGTCCACTGCACCGATGTGACAAATGCAAGCAGGACGATGCTTTTCAACATTAATTCTCTGGAATGGGATAAAGACCTCTGTGAATTTTTTGAAATTCCAATGAACATTCTTCCAAGCGTCCGAAGTTCATCAGAGATCTATGGCCTCATGAAAGTTGGGACCTTGGAAGGCGTGCCAATATCTGGGTGTTTGGGGGACCAGTCTGCTGCATTGGTGGGACAAATGTGCTTCCAGGATGGACAAGCCAAAAATACCTATGGAACAGGCTGCTTCTTACTATGTAATACAGGTCGTAAGTGTGTGTTTTCAGAGCATGGCCTTCTGACCACAGTGGCCTACAAACTAGGCAGAGACAAGCCCGTATGCTATGCACTGGAAGGTTCTGTCGCTATAGCCGGTGCTCTCATTCGCTGGCTAAGAGACAATCTCGGAATTATAAACAGTTCAGAGGAAGTTGAAAAACTTGCTAAAGAAGTAGGTACATCTTACGGTTGCTATTTCGTCCCGGCGTTTTCAGGGTTATATGCTCCTTACTGGGAGCCCAGTGCGAGAGGGATCATCTGTGGGCTCTCTCAGTTCACCAATAAAAGCCATATTGCGTTTGCAGCATTAGAAGCTGTTTGTTTCCAAACCCGAGAGATTTTGGATGCCATGAACCACGACTGTGGAATTCCACTCAGTCATCTGCAGGTAGACGGAGGAATGACCAACAACAAAATTCTTATGCAGCTACAAGCAGATATTCTGTGTATCCCAGTCGTGAAGCCCTACATGCCAGAAATAACTGCTCTGGGAGCTGCCATGGCAGCAGGGGCAGCAGAAGGAGTTGGGGTTTGGAGTCTGGAACCCAAGGATCTGACAGCCTTCACAATGGAGCGGTTTGAACCCCAGATCAATGCTGAGGAAAGTGAAATTCGTTATTCTGTCTGGAAGAAAGCTGTGATGAAGTCAATAGGTTGGGTTACAACTGAGTCTTCAGAAAGTGGTGACCCTAGTATCTTCTGTAGTCTACCCTTGGGCTTTTTTATAGTGAGTAGCATGGTAATGTTCATTGGAGCAAGGTACATCTCAGGTATCCCATAAATAAGACCAACTGGTGGATTCCAACAATGGGAGCTGTTGACCTAAGGAGAGACTCCAGCGATTCTACCCCTTAATGTGATGACACTATTCATAGACTCTGATTTTATTTATAAACTGCTTGCTGCATGACCCTCCAAGGAGACCTGTGGCTCAAAATAAAGAAAATGCAGCAAAAGGGGGGAAAACTCACATTGGTGTTTCTGACTAGTTTTTAAAACTCACCATAGTTTTCTTAACCCTATAAGTAAATCTTATCTCTCACTATACTCAAACATAAAACTTATTTGTCAGTCGGTCTAATTTCCTCCCTGACCTTCATGTTCCTATTCCTGATCCCCTGATTACATACGTGCAAGATTTATTATTGCTTACTCAAGTTCATTTGTTTATGCTACTTCTTTAGCTTTGATACTGACTTCTCCAACTATTCACCTCCTGTTTGTTTTTGAATGTTATGGTATGACTGTGTCCTCCCAAAATTCATACATTGAATCCTGACCCCCCAAGTGATGATATTAGGAAGTGTAGAGACTTTAGAAGGTAATTAAGTCATGTGAGTGGAATTCTTGTGAAAGGGATTAGTGTAAATGAGCTTTCAGAGAGATCCCTAACCCTTCTACCATTTGAGAACTCAGTGTAAAGGGCTTGGCTATAAATCAGAAAGAGTGTCTCTTACTTGAGCAGAACTCTGAGAAATAGATTTTTATTGTTTATGGGCTATGCAATCGATGACATTTTGTTATGGCACCCCAAACAGGCTAAGACATCTGCCAAGTCCTAGAAAAATGTCACATCTTTCAAGAGCATTTTAGATTACCTCATGCCCCCACCTCCTTTATCTAAACTTTTAAATACTGATTGCATTTTTTCTGCGTCATTTGAAATATTAGTTACCTACTTAGGTGTAACTACTCCCAAACTCAGTGGCTTACAATAACAGCAGGATGTAAGGATCCAAGACCACCTTCTGTGTCAGTCCCAGGGCAGATTGTTATGGTAAAAGCTGCAATGCTTCTCAAGATGTAGACTCCAGAACTCAACACAGCATCATTTCCACCATATTCTGTGGTCACGGTAAGTCACAAGGCCATCCCAGAATCAAAGGTCAGAGAAATAGTCTCCATCTCTTGGTATGACAAGCAGCAAACTTACACTGCAGAGAAGAATGGGAGGAGAATAGAAAAAAAAAGGTTGTAGTCATCTTTGAAAATAATATACAACATTTAGGATATAATGACACACTCTCTCTAATCACATGTTTTAATATGATTGGTTCCCAAATTTTTATATAAAAGTTCCTTGAAATTAAAATTCAAAACACATAGTTTTCTTGAAATTTCTTAAGTGCTTAATACAGAACTGGGCATATATTATGCTTTCAATTAATATTTATAATAGTAATTATACAGCACTTTGCTAGACACTTCTAAGTATGTAAAGTCATTTAATTCTAAATATATTAAGTCATTTAATTTTCATAATTACTGTATGAGAGAGGCCTATTTTTAGCCCCATTTTACAAAGAGGGAAACTGAGGCAAGGTGTGGTTAAATGTTATCTCAGGGTCCACAACTACCAAGTCCACAGTCAAACCCCACCATTCTGGTTTCAGATTTTATGCTCTTAGTAATATTCTTTATTTGTATTGATATTATAATGACACAAATTATCATCATTATTTTTATACCTGTACAAACATATTTCACTTAAAACTACTTAGAAACTCTATTAGCATTATTGATAAATAGAAAAGAAAAATGATATATTTTTAGACAGAATGGGTTTGTACAAAATACTGAGTTCATTTTAAAGAAAATATAGACAAATGTAATAATCACTGATACTGTATCTGAAGTTAAACCCCTCTTTTTTGGGGGGGGCGTTTTTTATTTTTCAATAACAGTTGGCATTCAATATTATATTAGTTTCAGGTATACACCATAGTGGTTAGACATTCATATAACTTACAAAGTGTTCTCCCAATAAGTCTAGTACACACCTCAAGGCCCTCTTTTCTTTCTCTCTTCCTGGCCCTCTAAAATCTCCCACAATGATGTGAACACCGAGCCTTTTTTGGCATATTTACAAGTCAAACTTCCAGTTAGTCATATCCTCAATGAACAATATCTTATCTGAGCTTTGGTAATATCCTCCTGCTGTTCACATTGACAGAGATTAGCACATGTCACAAATGAGACCCATACCCGTGTGGGTCAGTTGACATGCCACCATTTCATCTCCTTCTTCACCTGCTTGCTCTTAGTCACACGCAGGATTTGGAATGAGAGACTAAGGATGATCTGGTCCATCGATTATTGCTTCTGGAAAAAAAAACAAAATGCATGCATTTACAGTAGAACCATTTTAACACCTTCTTATACTAAGTATATTGTGTCTTAAAAACTTGAGATTGCAGAGACCTGATGCCAGAATTTGAGGGAACCCAGAAAATGTAACTTCTGTATCTTCTTTCTTCTGCAGGTATTCAACATGACAGGTTTTTCTTAAGAAAAGCATAGTCTTGAGGTTCTAGATATCCTTTTAATAAATATCTTACTCTTTCTGTTGTTTCCAGATAGCTTGGATGAACCTGGAACAGTTTTTCTTGTGATTTCCCACTTATAAGCAAGGGACTATGTAGTAATAAAACCCAAGTAATTAAAAATGTTTAATGCATGCCATGGGCTACTAAGAATCTGGACATTATTTATTTGATGGTACTTTAACCAAGAATAATCAAACAGAAAAAAATCCCATGATAAACTAACAGCAGGAATCAGGAAGAGCATTTGGAATTCATGGTAAAAGGTGGGTAAATGTCTTTCTCTCTGAGTCACACATGAACAAGATGTTGTCTAAGTCTTCTGGCATGCTGTAGATGATGTATCCGGTAAAGTCAAAATCTTCTCCCAATATGGTTGTTATAGGTTGAATTGTGCCCCCCTGCAAAAAAGATTTTGTTTCTTTTTTCATTTATTTATTTATTTATTTATTTATTTATTTATTTATTTATTTTTGTTAGAGATGTTTCTCCTTTTTCCCCCAATGACACCCCCCTCCCCATCCCACCCCGCCCTGTCCCCAGTTTTGCTGTCCATGTCCATTGGTTATGCGTATTTGCATATATGTTCTGTGGTTTATTTCTCCCCCATCACCCGCTCTTCTAAGGATTGTCAGTCTGTACCCTACTTTCACGTCTCTGGGATTATGCTGTTCCTCAAACTGTTATGTTCATTATATTCTACAAATAAGTGAGATCACATAATATTTGTCTTTCTCTACTTGGCTTGTTTCACTTAAAATAATACTCTCCAGGTACCTCCATGTTGTCTCAAAGGATAAGAGATGTTTCTTTCTTACAGCTGCATAGTACTCCATTGTGTACATGTACCACTGCATTTTTATCCATTTGTCTACTGATGGACACTTGGGCTGTTTCCAAATCTTAACTATTATAAATAGATCTGCTATGAACATGGGGGTACATATATTCTTTCTGATTGGTGTTTTGGGCTGCTTAGGATATATTTCTAAAAGTGGGATCACTAGGTCAAATGGGAGTTCAATTTTTATTTTTTTGAGGTAATATCATAGTGGTATTCCATAGTGGCTGCACCAGTCTGCATTCCCACCAGCAGTGTACTAGAGTCCCCTTTTCTCCACACCCTCGCCAACACTTGTTGTTTGATGATTTGTTGATGGCGGCCATTCTGATAGGTGTGAGGTGTTACCTCATTGTTGTTTTCATTTGCATCTCTCTGATGATTAGTGATGTTGAGCATGTCTTCATATGTCTCTTAGCCATTTGTATGTCCTGTTTGGAGAGGTGTCCATTCAGCTCCTGTGCCCATTTTTTAATTGGATTCTTTGTCATCTTTTTATTGAGTTGTATGAGTACTCTACATATTTTGGAAATTAACCCCTTATCTGATATATCATTGGCAATTATGCTCTCCCATACAGTGGGTTGTCTTTCCATTTTGATGGTTGTATCTTTTACTGTGCAGAAGTTTTTGAGTTTGATGTAGTCCCATGTGTTCATTTTTTCAATTGTTTCTGTTGCCTTAGGTGATGTATCAGTGAAAATTCTGCTGCATATGATGTCTGAAACTATGTTGCCAACATCTTCTGATAGAATTTTTATGGATTCACGGGTCACATTTAAGTCTTTTATCCATTTAGAGTTTATTCTTGTGTAGGGTGTAAGTTGATGGTCTAGTTTCATTTTTTTGCATGTAGCTGTCCAATTTTCCCAACACCATTTATTAAAGACATTGTCTTTCCTCCATGTATGCTGTTGCCAACTTTGTCAAATATTAATTGAGCATAATGTTTTCGGTCAATTTCTGGGTTTTCTGTTCTTTTCCATTGATCTATCTGCCTGTTCTTGTGCCAGTACCAGGCTGTTTTGATTACATTGGCTTTGTAGTATAACCTGAAATCTTGTAATGTGATCCCTCCAACTTTGTTCTTTTTCAAGATTGCTGTGGCTATTCGAGGTCTTTTTTGGTTCCAGATGAACTTTTGAAGTATTTTTTTCTAGTTCTGTGAAGTATGTCGTTGGTATTTCGATGGGGATCGCATTGAATCTATAGATTGCTTTGGGTTGTATGGACATTTTAATGATTTTAATTCTTCCAATCCATGAACAAGGTATGTGCTTCCACTTTTTTATATCTTTCTCTATTTCTTCTTTTAATGTCCTATAGTTTTCTGCAAATAGGTCCTTTACTTCTTTGGTTAAGTTTATTTCTAGGTATCTTAATTCTTTTGCCACAATGGTAAATGGGATTGTCTTTTAATTTCTCTTTCTGTGAGTTCATCATTGATGTATAAGAATGCCATCAATTTCTTAACATTAATTTTGTATCCTGCTACTTTGCCAAATACATTTTTTAAGTCCAGTAGATTTTGATTCAGTCTTTAGGGTTTTATATGTATAATATCATGTCATCTGCAAATAATGACAGTTTCATTTCCTCCTTTCCAATTTGGATTCC